AAAAACAAACAAGCTAACAAAAACAATACATATTAAAAATAGTTCTGTAGCAAAAACGTCTTTGCGAAACCTTATGGGATGTGGTTTTTGCTTATGTACAGTGCATAGGGAAATAACAATTTAGGTAGTATTTAGTCAATGACAGTCATTGTGCTTGGAAAAGTTTCACAAAAATAGCTTAAACAGGTTTGGCTTGAAACATTAATTTATTTCTGGGAAACAAATAATACCCTTTTTTTGGAACATATCACAGGTTATCTTGATGAAAGGAGTGATCCTTAAATGCTGCATGACATTATTTACGGAAAACCACAATAAAATCACATATTACAGATCAGAAACCATATCCAACATATCCATTAAATAATCTTACTAAAACACTGATTTAATGTTTGGCTCAATATATGAAAACTACAAAAGATCTACATCTATAAACCTAAGTTAAAACATTAGATAAACATAAACTTCACGCCAGTCTTTTCTATCCTTCAGAAGAACGATTCATAACTTTTACCACTACAAACATATTTAAAAAAACTAAAGTTTGTAATCAACAAAAAATAGAAATTTTTGCTAGTATTGGAAAAATGGAATCTAATAAGTTTACTTTATTTTTTATAAAGAGCACAAGTTAGAGGAATCAGTTACCAAAATATTTTAAACATTTAAAGAGCAAGAAAGTGAAATGTAGATATTGAATATTTCTAAAAAAAAATTCTGAAGGTGCAGGGAAGGTATTTTTACAAATGATCAGCTCATTATTCTCCTAGGGATACAACATATAACTAATAACTCCCCATATTTACTCTCCTAGCAATATTGTCAATAATTAACCACTCCGTACCAACTATTCATCTTTTAAAAGACAAATGTTGTTAAAATCTAACTCTTCAAAATAACATAGTGATAATAGCTTCCCATTCACAGTAGTCAAAAGTTACTGCCACATTTCAATGTGAAGTCCTATATATCAAGAATAATTCTCCTTGGCAGAAGTAAAATTTAGTATCATAATTCATTGTAATATCATATGTGGCGTGTTAAGCATCTTCATTACAACTGAATATCTAAGCTATACAAAAAGCCGTGTGTCACGTCACGTCACGTCCCTTGTTTACTCTTGTTTTCTCGAAATAGGAGAAGTCGTAAAAGCCAAAGTGCATTTATCTACACAGAATAGTTCGATTACTGTCTGCCCATTACGATTTTAGTGACGGGGGCGCAAGGGAGCCGTGAAACCTTATAAGTGTAGTGAGTGTTGGGGTCACCTAGCCTACAAACTTAAATAACAGGTTGAACAATCGGCAAGTTTTTTTATATTTTTTTACTTCTATTTAAAAAAGGATGACGTTTCGAGCTAGCGCTCTTCGTCAGATGATGCAGTTTACAACAAAGGCCAAGAGCTTAGACTGGGGCCAACTGCATAAAATTTATCATGAAAGTAAAAATATCGATTCAATTTTAAACTTAAATCGTTTCTGAATTAAGCTGTTTTCTGTTATATCACCAACGTTTTTAATAAAAAGCAAACCTCTTTAATGAACGGAGAGTCTAAATTAAGAAATCAACAAATATTTTCCAGATTTGTTGTCTATACATTTTATTTTATACTTTCAGTCCATAGACTAACAACAGTATTAGGTTATACTTTTGTTGTTTAGCAACATGACATAAAAACCATTGTTGAAACGTAGTGTCACCAAAAACGCACTGGCTTTTCTATATTTTAGATGTTGTTAATCTAACTAATTTTTACTAATACTTATTCTATGAATACGCCACGAATTTATTTCAGGAGTTATCTTAATTTTGATTGGCTCACAAAGGAATTTGCCGACGTTGACTGCCTCGACTGCACTTTTCTGCCTCTTTGTTGGTCAAGCTTGATTGAGCAAACTTTATTTATTTCAGTTAGCTATGAAACGTGAGGTTAGGGTATGGATGGGGGTGGTAGTACTTTTCCCGTCATTTTTGACTAGTATATATATATATTTACCATATGTCGAAGCATAAAAAAATCCCAAGAAATTAATCAAATCATCTGTAGTTTCACTAAACTCGAAGTAAAAATAACATAACATTCTCAGTTAAGCAATTTTTGTATTACGTATTTATGTATCTTGGGTAATATAAAGAAATAATGAAAAGGTAAAGAAAAGAACTCCCAGACGAAAACAACCGAAACATGAAATAACATATTTTGTGATCTCCGTGTATAGTATTATAGAAAAAGTAATGAAAATGTGTACCTAAGGAATTTACTAAATCTAAAAACTTGTCATTCATCGTTTTAAATACTTGACAGCACCATACTGCAATTTTATTTCAAATATTAGTCAGTCACCAACACCTTTATATGTATGGTAGATTATTGTTGTTCACTAGATGACCGTAATTATTCAATAATGATCATGCTCCCATCAAAAGACTGTTTAGGAATGCCTAAGAGCTATAAAAAATTTAAACTAGCTTAATATTCCAAAAACAACAACAAACTATTCAACAGTTTTAATTTCAAAAGAACACAGTTTCAATTATTCAAATTCAATCACAGAAGATATTATGATAGAAGAAAAAAAGACTGTGAATATGGATTTCTAACTTCACTATGTAGTGGAGCAACACACAAACAACTGTTAAAATCTGTATAAATAGTTTAGCTTGTGGACTTATTTTTTAAGAGAAAGAGAATAATTACAAATGCCTAAAAGTAAAATATTTTGACAAGTCATACAAGCAATATTTTCTGAATATTCAATAATAAGATAACTTGACAATAGCAAATTAGTTCTATCTGTCAGTAGTCATGATTTTATTACATTCCTTACTAAAATAAAAAGAAAGAAGCAAAGCAGCCAAAATAACAACTACAGGGTTTCCGAAAAGTCTGGAACCATTGGTGATTTGCAGATTTTCTTAATTTCAGATACGTGACTGATTATGGTGCTATCAAAGCATGAGAAGGTCGAGTACATCCCGCTGACAATCTAAACCTGTTTCGAATTATAAGGATATCACGAAGAACATATTCTGTAAAATTCGTTAAAGTATCTAAGGTTCCAGACTTTTCGGACATCCTGTACAATACATAAAATTGTAATATTTCTTTTTGGTCATTCCATTATTTAATTTTCTCAAAGGTGTGTGAATAGCACAACAACTGGTTATATGTGTTATCCTACACAGCCGAAGAGAAGTTCAGCTCTTTGTTCCACACCAATTACTCTTTTCTTCAACCGTTAATAACTATTATTTCGATCATTTTTTTCCCAAAGTGTACACTTGTAATATTCAAATTTTCACGTTCAAAACTAAACAAAAACATAAATATAAAGTTACCGATAATTCAAACCACTCTTAGTTCTGTAAAAACTTCTCTACTTAAGCTATTTTAATCAGAAATCATTAATGCATACTAAAGACTTTATGTACCTCTTTGATCGTGTCTGTATGTTTCTTATAATACAAAAATCAAATTTTAACAAACCTCACTATCATGTACATTCCCTTAACACGCAATATTCAAGATATGTTTTGATGTCGAAGGTGTTCTTGGTAATAGGACTTAATAATGAATAATGTGACAACATATGATACAGCCCATTCTGTAAAGAACAAACACTAATCTTTTTCAATACAACTTCAGAATTAGCTTAAAAAACATGTTATGAATAAATAATTTTATTCAAGCTATTTTATACACCATATAGAACATTGTACAGATCAGAGGTTCTTTGGAATGGCATTAGTTGGAATTTTCCATGACTTAATCAGCTTTTCTTACGAGTTAGCTTATTTTACCAGAGAGAAATCTAAGATGAGTAAGCAGAGCAATCTATAATACAACTCTGCAACACTTTAGATACGAAAAAACAAAAACAACAAGTGCAGGAAAGAAATGTATCTAATTATACCTGATTAATTAACAACCAACTGTTAATATATGCTTAAGGTTTTGAAAATATTATCAAGTTTCAATACCTTTTTTTTTATGTAACGGAAGTGAATTGTAGACTTTTTTTCAAGAATAAGCAGTGAAATATTGTAGCATCCTTAGATTACGTACAAACTGTAGATACCTAAGTGCTTGGGTGGTGAGGAGGGTGTAGATAACTTTACTGATAATACTGACATCGGCTTGTTTTGAACAGAGTAAGTGAGACTGGATTTTGACCAGCTCTCTCCCCAACGTGAGGCATGCAATACCTAACTTCAGCCAACAGTCACTGAAGTCTTGATTTTAAACTTCACCAGTTAATGTTATTAACCTTGAACAATTTTTATGTCAAACTTATTATGACTGCCATTCACAATGAGTTGCTACTTGTAACCTCGCTGTATAGTTTGCTAATTGCCATTTTGTACTCTCCGTCGATATCATAATGAAATAACACAAATACTAATTAATATATCTATAAATGTAACTTAGTAATAGTTTTTACTTCATTCAAGCAAGATAAAAATCGAAATACCCGCGTTTACATAATGTTACTTACATCTTAAATTTGTTTGTTTGAAGTTAAGCACAAAGCTATACATGGGCTATCTGTAATCTGCCCACCACGGGTATCGAAACCTGGGGGGCAAATCTTAAGTTAAGAAAATCATAATGTTTGGAACAGAGTAAATACAAGAATAATGTAGGATACAAGCTTAGATACTTATTTAATTTGCCGATAATTATAAATGTACGAACCTTATTTTCGTTGGCTGTTTTAGTCATTTATTAATATTGGGAAAATACTTAGAACAATCGGGAAGAATACGAAATTACCTAGCAAGAAGATTTGGACATTTACAAAAAAAAACATTTTTATATGCTAGCCACTAGAGGACAGCACCTGTAAAAGCGCGAATTATCTGCAAAATGGCGTCTAAACGAGGAGACGTATCGAACGAGCTCTACTTGCCGAACAAAATCATTCAAGAAAATGCATTTGTCAAAACTATGGACGAGTACAGAAAATTATATAAAAGATCCGTTGAAAGTCCCGAAATATTTTGGAAAGAAATTGCTGATGAATTCTACTGGAAAACAGAAAAGAAAGGGAAATTCTTCAGCTACAATTTTGATATATCGAAAGGTCCGGTGTACGTAGAGTGGATGAAAGGATCTTCTACGAACACGTGCTATAACTTACTGGATCGTAACGTTATAGAAAAAGGGTTTGGTGATAGAATAGCGTATTACTGGTGAGTTTTTGAAGTTTCAAAGTAGTATTATAAATAATTATCCTTTAAAGGAGTGATAATGGAAAAGTGGACGCTAAATTATACTTACTTAAGTTAAACAAATGATTGTGGAAATACAAACTTACCGAAGCACAAACTTTGCTATGTAAATTGTAATGTTATATCTTGTTATACACGTTATAATCTGGTACTTATAGCGTTCTAAGCCCTCAGCTTTACTGGTAAAGTTCTGTTAAGTTTTATGTTCTGTTAAGGCCTGTCATTCAAACTCAAATCACATGTTTGCACAATATAGATGTGCATGTTAATATACGTAATAGATTGATACATTGTGATGCCTGTGTTATATCCGTGAAATTAACCTACATGAAATATAGACTGTATAATACCAAAGAACTAAAAGTAAAACTTAATATTATCTTTGTAAAGATAAACACAAATCGTGAGCTTTCGAGATTCATTTGAACAATAAACTGTTCATAAATCACTGTTTAACAAACGTCATATTCGAAATAAACATTGATCATAAAAATTTTAACTCATCACAAATATAATTCTGAAAATATACTTTTAAATGGAAAATAAACATACTAAAAAAGCTTTATTTTTATTCGTAGAGTATAATATATCTGAATTGAACTTTAGTCAAAGTACAAGTTTCTTTTATAAAATTATGCTGTGTATATTTTATAAGAAAAACAAGGGAAGCTACTTGTCAAGTTTTTATATTCTGATGTGGAGGATAATGAATATGATAGTAAGTGGGCAATCTTGTATTCACTATGTTTTTTAAGGATTAAAATTAATAATAGTGTAATATTGCTGGAAGCAGACAAAGTTCAGTGTAACAACATGAAATAGTCCTTTTTGGTTCTGAATTTTTATTTAAACGCTCTTCAGGCGAACATTGTTCACATCACCAACAACTAAATTTCAATCTAACTCATAAACAGTCCAAAAAATGTTTTGAGACTTTCTTATGTACTTCATTTGTATGACCCGAATCCATATAAGGATTGAAAATGATGTAACGATTAAAAAAAACAAAAAAACAAACAGGTTTGGAAAACGCGGTCATGAGAAATAACGTTCGTGGTAACTGTAGAAGCTAAGTTGACTTAGGAATGTATTTTTGTTTTTAAGTAACATCTACAGATTTGGGATAACCTTCATTTGTCTGTATTATTTAGCATGTTATGATACGTACATATTCCAAGATTTATTTCTATATATTTGTGTGAAGCAAAAATTGTTTAAGTGTTTAAGTATAGAGTGTAAATTATAATGTTATACGCATAATTGATAAACACTGTACTGTTCACACGTTTCTAGAACGCTTTTTTGACGTGACTACATAAAGATGTTTTATAAGACGGTCTTTTTGAGACCGTACGAGTCAACCTGCCGAGACGACAATGGTTTGCTTGCATGCCGTTTGTATGAAACTTTAAAGCAGCCATGGATGTGACGGATTCGTACGGTTTTCCAAACTATGGTGTATCGTACGCACGTCCATGTCTCTGTAGTTACTCGCTACGTAATTGGGTATTTATTCCTTTGAAATTAAATTAAAAATGTTAAGTCCTACAAGTGGATCAAAGGCTCATTTGTTTATATGATCTACGAACTGAGTTCAGTTTAAGATTTGAATTATGATTTATGTAGTTGTAAAAATAAAACAATAAAGACGTGCCCAACAAAAATAGTGCAGTGGAAGGTTTTGTTGGAAAGTTCTAATTCGAACATATTTTAAAATAATCATAAAAGAAATAACTTCAGTTTCTTTACAAAATGGCGACAAATGCTTATATCCTGGAGGGAAATGGAGAAACAACAAATATTCGAAACTTCAGTGCATAATCCTGCCACACTATGGACTTCATAATAATTTTAAATGTTCAGACACTCTCTAAACTAATACGATAAAAATAATGATTAGACCAAGTGTTAATCATTCGTTTGTTAGAGTTCATTTGAGTAACTATTGTATTGTTATCCGTGGTTAGTTCAGTAACTACTGTATTGTTGTCAGTGGTTAGTTTAGTAACTATTGTATTGTTATCCGTGGTTAGTTCAGTAACTATTGTATTGTTGTCAGTGGTTAGTTTAGTAACTATTGTACTGTTGTCAGTGGTTAGTTTAGTAACTATTGTATTGTTGTCAGTGGTTAGTTTAGTAACTATTGTATTGTTGTCAGTGGTTAGTTTAATAACTATTGTACTGTTGTCAGTGGTTATTTTAGTAACTATTGTATTGTTGTCAGTGGTTAGTTCAGTAACTATTGTATTGTTGTCAGTGGTTAGTTTAGTAACTATTGTACTGTTGTCAGTGGTTAGTTTAGTAACTATTGTATTGTTGTCAGTGGTTAGTTTAATAACTATTGTACTGTTGTCAGTGGTTATTTTAGTAACTATTGTATTGTCAGTGGTTAGTTTAGTAACTATTGTACTGTTGTCAGTGGTTAGCTTAGTAACTATTGTATTGTTGTCAGTGGTTAGTTTAGTAACTATTGTACTGTTGTCAGTGGTTAGCTTAGTAACTATTGTATTGTTGTCAGTGGTTAGTTTAGTAACTATTGTACTGTTGTCAGTGGTTAGTTTAGTAACTATTGTATTGTTGTCAGTGGTTAAATTCTGATTTTAAAGGTGATCCACTTGGACGTTCCAATTAGAAGAACAGTAACGCTAATGGCTTGAGTCCTCAAGATGCGGAACGCCGTTCCGAACCATTCCGCCCCAGTTTAACCTCTGATTGTTGTTATTTCTTCAAAACTCTTATATTGATGTTTTCAATGTTCTTCGTGTAACCTGACGTTTCAGGTTTTTCAAAGCATCCTGTAAGTTCCGTGTAAAAATGTATTAATTCCAACAAAATGTGTTCATGTTCTCAGCTCTAAACATTCCATTAATGACGGAAACGTTAAACAAACTGAAAAATGTCGAGAACAAAATATCATCCATTTCAAAAGTTAAAACTCCTTACGTCAGTATGTACCAAATGTTCACGACTGACTAACTTTTTTAGAACTCATATCAATGCAGAGCATAAAAATATGTTATGTTCTTTTTTATAGAAAAGTGAGTGTTTTAAGTATTTCATCCAACCTGTCAAAAGCAAATTATACTGGATTTTATTCGTTTCTTTTCTCAGGGGTGGATGTGAAATGACAGCCTTGAAGGACCATATGATCCTTCGTTATACGTATGTTATGTCGCTTTTGACATTCCAAGTAATACTTAAAAACTGTATAAGTCATCTACATGGTTCACAGAAAACAACTGAACTTGGATCTGAAAAATACACTGTATACCTATAGGTCTGTCTGGGTCGGTGTTTGGTCGTGTGTTCGAGACGTGGGAGGGTGAGGTCCAGCGTATACCTCCTCCCCACCCCTCTGGAATTGTTATTTTGTTTGCACTGTTACTGAATCCTACGTAATAACCCTTGTTACTTTGTTATTGCATTACTCACAGTATGTTAAATTTTGTCCACTGTTCACAGTTTTAATGAACATACCTTTTCCGTGCCATGTCGAATTCATGAGGTAATATTAACTCGTATATTTTCACTAGCTTCACTTATATATGATCATACTATTAGTCCGTGTTCACAATACAGTTCCACTTAGCAGTCATATACACACACACATAATCCTATTTTTACATACAAAACCTTTTTAAAATAGAGCCACGTTTGTGTCTATGATTCAGTTAGCCTAGCACTGTTTAGCCTGTAATATTCTTATTTATGATGTTTAGAGGAGAGAGGTACTTAGGGCTTGGTTCATCATGTATTACTACCTGTAGGTATGAATATACTTGGTTATTTGTTAAATTTTGCACAAAGCTGCTCGAGAGCTAACTACGCTAACCGTCCAAAGTTATTTATAGGTGATAGACTAGAGGATAGACACCTAGTCAATATCTCTCATCGCCAACTCTTCAGATACTCTTTACTTACGAATAGTGGGGTTGACCGCCACATTATAATGCCCCCATAGAAGAAATGGTGAGCATGTTCCGTAATGGGCTTTGTACTCCCAGATTGCGAGTTGAACGCCCTGACTACCAAGCTTAGTATGAGTAGAGCGTCGAAACCTGAAAGAAGAAGTAACAGGAATTCCTTTGTTTTTTTAAAAGACAATCTCCAAACTTATGTGCCAGTGAGGTTATTTATCATTTGAAATTGCTGATATTAATGAAAGTGTTCAGATTTAAAATATTAAATTCCCAAGCATATACATGTGTTATATACATAAAAAAAACTTTAGACCTATCAACATCACGCAACAACTTTGTGTTATTGGAATTCTAGAACTATGACTATACAACACATGAATGTTTTTGCAACTCGCAGAGTTATGACTAAAAGGAAATGTTTTACTGGGGTTATGTTTGTACAACACACGTGTTATTGTAACTATAGTTATGGGCATATAACTCATTTGTATTTTTGAAGCCAGGGCTATGACTATACAACACACAAATGTTATTGGAACACTAGGGCCATGGTTCTGTAACACAAGTGTGTTGTTGGAGCTAGGTTTCTGGGTACGTAATGTACCTGAGCTATTGGATTATGACTAGAAAACACACAAATGTTATTGGGACACTATGGCCATGGTTCTGTAACACAAGTGTGTTGTTGGAGCTAGGTTTCTGGGTACGTAATGTACCTGTGCTATTGGGTTATGACTAGAAAACACAAAAATGTTATTGGGACACTAGGGCCATGGTTCTGTAACACAATTGTGTTGTTGGAGCTAGGTTTCTGGGTACTAATGTATCTGTGCTAGTGGGTTACGAGTATACAACACACATGTAATTACTGACAGAATTCAATGAAGAATACTAGAAGGTTAGTTTCAACCAAGTCAATAAGAACATTAAAGAGTTAACTAGATATAGGCCTAACGACATGAACAGAAACATAATTCGAACTTAGACCTTAAACTAATATCCTACACCTAAGAAAAAGGTGCATGAACTCGTTAAAATGCC